TGTGAATATCTGTTGACATTCATTCTGTGCGGATATATGTCAAATTGTACGTTCTTTATTTGTTTGTTTACCACACAATGTATTTTCACATATTTATAATGTAATACCAAATTATGGACACCACATGGTGCCCACGAGCATAGAAAATAAATACTTATTTCCTATGTTCCGTTAGTGCCATCTAGTGGCTATAATGCAATATTTCATGAAAACAATTCAAAATGTATTGGGATATTTAGGAATGTGTTTGCAAGGAATGCACAAAGTGTCCGCAAATGTCATGCTAACTAACCACTAAATTTTATCTCTGTTAGGTGTCTTTTTTAAGTGTTCTTTTAACATATTGATGCTTGTGACTCACTGCACATGTTTTGCATAATTTTGCATAATATCTCAACTGTGCAGTACTTGTGTCCAGCATGTGCAACATTAAAAGACATCCAAACTGAAGCACATCCCAGAAATGCTCCTGAGCACTTCTTAAAGTATCACAAAGATAATGCAGCTTCATATCCTCAAGTCATCTAAGCACTTCAGGGCTATTCATCTGTCACCCAGGATGTTCCTAGCAAACTTGCAGCAATTTAGAGACAATTTACGGAGACAATTTTGAGACAATTCTCCTTATCAAGGCATTTAGGAATGACACATACACTAGGATGATAAATCTGTTGCTATATGCACTATAAATCAGGGGTGCAACAGTCTGAAAAATACTAATGATACAACCAAATTGATACACTTCCCCTTTGCACTTGTAAAGAAAAAAACTAAAGAACATTGGTTTTGGCATATACTTGCACAGAACAGGCGTTCACTGATATTCACAGGGTGAACGACACCCTAGTGTTTTGTCCCATGAAAGAGCTGCTACTGCAGCGCACAAGCCCGGAAGCTTTGGATAATTTGCTTTGTTGCTTGGGTATCGGTGTTTCAGCACCAGAAATTTCAGATGATTCATTTTTGGCACAAATACTGTAACTTTACTGCATATGTTAAACACTTATTAAATGTAAATACATTTGACATTCAGCCTGTACCTATATTTTAGGCAGATATGTATACAGTTCTTTCCCAGTGATTAATACTATACTAGTGACATACTATCAAGTTGAACATGTAATGCAAGAAAAACTTTAGCTCCTATTTACTAGACAGAAGGCGTACACAATGACGTCACTGCAGGGTGTCACGCCGCCCCGAGACGCCTCTGGTTACACAGGACTAAAATTAACTATATAACCGCTAATAAACTAGTCACATTACTCCAATAAATTACCAGAATAATAGACAAAATTGCAAGTACAAGTACTGATACTTGCCCAAGTACCAGAGGCGTTACTGGCAAGCGTGGGACCCCGGGCAGCCGCTTGTTTAAAATTTTAGTGCGGTGTTCTGTCGAGAGCGCCGACCCAATATCTGCGCTTGCGTACAGACGGGATTAACGAGGAAACCACCATTTATTTACAAAGTATTCATTTGTAATGGTTAATTGTGACTGTTAATAATATGCCGTTCATGGCAGTAAATGTTGGGTGGCAGTAAGTGATAGATGGAATATTATTAACGGTCACAATTAACAATTTTAACGAAATACTTTGGAAATAAATCAGTTTCCTCGATAATACCGGTCTGTGTGTAAGCGCAGATGCTGAGGTCAGCAAATTCGACTACATCGGCGTTCTCGACAGAACACCGGTATCTGCGTTTAGTATCTGGGCATTTTCACGAGTATAAGTACTTGTGAAAGTGCCTAGTATTAACAATGGTGTATCCCTACTTAAACAGTCCAAGCGCACAAGCCCGGAAGCTTTGGATAATTTGCTTTGTTGCTTGGGTATCGGTGTTTCAGCACCAGAAATTTCAGATGATTCATTTTTGGCACAAATACTGTAACTTTACTGCATATGTTAAACACTTATTAAATGTAAATACATTTGACATTCAGCCTGTACCTATATTTTAGGCAGATATGTATACAGTTCTTTCCCAGTGATTAATACTATACTAGTGACATACTATCAAGTTGAACATGTAATGCAAGAAAAACTTTAGCTCCTATTTACTAGACAGAAGGCGTACACAATGACGTCACTGCAGGGTGTCACGCCGCCCCGAGACGCCTCTGGTTACACAGGACTAAAATTAACTATATAACCGCTAATAAACTAGTCACATTACTCCAATAAATTACCAGAATAATAGACAAAATTGCAAGTACAAGTACTGATACTTGCCCAAGTACCAGAGGCGTTACTAGCAAGCGTGGGACCCCGGGCAGCCGCTTGTTTAATAATTTTAGTGCGGTGTTCTGTCGAGAGCGCCGACCCAATATCTGCGCTTGCGTACAGACGGGATTAACGAGGAAACCACCATTTATTTACAAAGTATTCATTTGTAATGGTTAATTGTGACTGTTAATAATATGCCGTTCATGGCAGTAAATGTTGGGTGGCAGTAAGTGATAGATGGAATATTATTAACGGTCACAATTAACAATTTTAACGAAATACTTTGGAAATAAATCAGTTTCCTCGATAATACCGGTCTGTGTGTAAGCGCAGATGCTGAGGTCAGCAAATTCGACTACATCGGCGTTCTCGACAGAACACCGGTATCTGCGTTTAGTATCTGGGCATTTTCACGAGTATAAGTACTTGTGAAAGTGCCTAGTATTAACAATGGTGTATCCCTACTTAAACAGTCCAAGTATCGGTGCATCCCTACAGAGTAGTAATACCAAACACATCCATGTAAAGTACTACTTAAAGTGCAACTGAAGCCAAAACTTTTTTTAGTTTTTTAAATTTTTGGATAGAATAACCAGCTACCACTGCCCACAGTGTTTGCAGGCCTGCAGTTACCTGTGAATGACCGCACCTGCTTAAAAGAGAACTATGGCCCAACCTAATTCTCTTTATGGTCACACGAGGACATATACTAATGGTCTCCTGTGACCCAAAACTCAGCATATAGGGGGCTATTGTCCGCTGAATGCTGACAGCACAGAGCCACACTGCAGCCAGGACGGATCCTGACCATATTGTCGGGATTCACCCCTCTGCATGATTGACAGCTGGCTCTGCCTCTCTGGAGGAACGGAGAGGGAAGGCTGGAATCCCTGAAGGGAGAGGTGACTGGCACTGGGAAAGGATCGGGAACTGAGCGATCAGCGGTATATGATAGCTCAGTTTCCGATCAATAAAACTGATACGTGATAGCTTCATTGTCACACTTCGGCTCTAATTATAGGGATGAGTTTATTTCACTCTCCCCATAATTCTTTTTCAAGCAATTCCTTTTGTCAGTTCATTATCATGATTTAACCTTCTGCAAAGGATCACAATGTAGCAGAATGCGTATAGTAAAGGTATTTCTAAATACAAAAAAATTATATATTGCAGCTTAACAGTCCTTAGATGTGGTGGCTGCATTTGTTTTCTTTTTTAAGGCTAGAAGACTTTTCAGCAAGCACAAAGACTATCTGATGATCTTACCAGAAATTCAGTGTCCTGTGAGCCGAAATAAAGCACAAAAATTCTAATCTTTATTATGTAAACTACTAGTCACATAAATCCACCATGTAATCGAGATAAACAAAGGCATAACAAAATAAGTTATAACAAAATCCTTTTATATGTCATTTGTTGCATAACACACTTTTTAAAGTACTCTCAGATGTTACATACATGGAGTTTGTACGCCAAACCTCTCCCCTCTAGGACCGGAAATATGGAAAACACACACTTGTTTTGTTATGATATACAATTTGCCTACAAACGTCAGGTGGTCATAATAATCTGGCCACTCAGTGTATTGTTGATTGTGGATTGAAGCGTGGACTTTTGAGTAATCATAGCAATAGTCCAACCCAGTCCTAAAGAAGCTGATATCTCTGCAAAACACATAGACAAGACTTTATGCACTAATGTTATATTCTCCGATTGATGCTGGTTTTTGTATATGTACCCCAAAAAAGATTTTTATCAATATACTGTTTGCAGTAAATATTTGATTTGATTTGATAAAACAATTTTAATTTTATACATTGCCATTTATGGTATTCTTAATGCCACATTTAGCATCTCTTTCTCATGTTTTTATATAATTTTTGGTAATTATGAGATGGTAATATTTGAGATCTTGATAAAGTCTTAAAGGTGCAGTAGAAGGCAACCAGTGAGAACTTTCCCAAGCATCTCTTCTCCCCATGTTATAAGAAGGGTGTCACAATTATACATTAAAAGACCACAACACAAAACATAAGACTTCTAAGTTTTACTGTATATGGACATGATACTTGCCCTGCTTCCACTGAAACATCTAAAGTGCTTCTTGCCATAAATAAAGTGCACCTCCAAGTCCAATTGTTTCTTCACCAGGTTGTTTTAGTAAAGAGTGCAGGAAAGGAATAAAGAATTGGCTACTCCGATTAGAAACACATAATTTATTTTTTATATTAATATTTTTCATTTATAAAACACCAGAAACTAATACAGATTACCACTTAATCCAAATAAATGTATAAACTAATATCCCTATGACCAGCATAAAGATACACCAGGGAGAGTCTATGGAAGCCAACAAATTTTCCAGTATTTTGGTTATGAGAGAAAACTAAAAACCTAAAAAAACACAGACATAAGGGGAAAACATACAAACACTAAGGAGATAGTAACCTCTGGATTGCAAGACCCAATGCCCAGCAGAGGAAGTGATTCATTATTACTAAAACAACCAGGTAGAATGTCTGGAATGACATTGATGTTCAACCTGGGACACAAGGATATGATGAAGATAGCACAATGTACATTCAGGGTGGTGTTCTTTTCACATAAAGTTCCGTTGGGTAGTTTGGGTTGGGTAGTGCAGGATAAGTAAAGTTAGCATACAACATATTGTTTTCTGCAACTCACTTATACACCTTAAAAATTGTAGATTTTCTTTCTTTGGAAGCAGATGTGTACTTATAATATCTATGATATTATTTTGTTTTCTAGGAAGCTACATAGATGAAATTTCAGGAGCAGTGTATCAGTAAGTAAATGTTTCCATTCATTCCATGCTGAATTTATTTTTATTAATGTGGAATAGATTTGGGTGGATGAATTAGACATTATAGCATATTTATTTCTTGTTCATTGATGGACACACTTTTCAGAGGCAGTTGGGTTATACAGTACTGTCACCTATAGAGGATTTGTGCACTGGCAAACAAAAAAAAACAAGACAGCTCAGTATAATCTTTCTCACTCCCAGCATGTCTCAGTGATTTGCTGGTGTCCAAGTAGGATGGACATCTTTTCTCAGTTTTTTTTTTTTTGTCTACATTCAAGTTTAATATTTTTCCTTCCTTCAGCTGCTGCTTGAACAAGTTTTGATGCACAGCTATACCAATTGGCATATCATCAACAGTAGCTTTGGAGACCATAAACAGATTCCCTTGGACTGGATAATTGTTGGGCTACATTGGCACTGAGCTCCCCTTTGTGGCACTTTTTGGACCTGAGTGGTAGGATTTCACTGCAACCATGGACCAAATTGCAACCTGATTCTGACCACAGAGATTATAATCATACCTCCATGCGCTTCACTAGAAAATAATTTCTGATTTACCTGTGGCCTCGAAGCCTTCTGCACTAGGGGCTCTGTTTGAGGCTGAGTCTCACAAATTCATAATGGATGATAGTGCTGCACACTGCTCCCAGTACTCCCAGGGCAGGCTTGGGGAGCTATTTCAAATTGTATTGACATGGCACACACCACGTTGAAACTAGAACATCAGCCTGCAGCCTCTGCTAGTGCTGCTACATGTGAGGATCCCATAGAGGCTCTAAAACTACCAAGACGTTTCCAGTGCACCTGCTAGTCCCAGATGTACCTTATAGGGACAGGGAGACTCATGATAAGCTGCCCACACCTCTCAAATGTTTGGTGGCAATGTACCCATTTGAGCAGTCTTTTATTAAGAATTTTGCTGCTCCAACAATAAATCTGGTAGTATCCAGTCTTATTTAAGTACTGGTGATCCCTGTGGAGGATGTGCCTGTTTTTAAGGATCCCATTAACAAATGCGTGGAGATTCTTTTGAAAACGAAGTTCTCTCCGGCTGGCCCTGCATGGCACCCTGCCCTGGCTGTGATGCTAGCCTATCAAACTATAGAGGAATGGACTTGGACCATTTGAAGCGATTATATTTGCTTCCAAATGGACCCCCAATTTGTGAAGCATTGTGATCTCATGTCAGAAGCTCTAAACTTCTGTGTGAATGGGTTACTGGGTGTTTCCTGTCTTATATCCCCTATGAGTCTCCTGTCAGTGAACATGTGGTGACATTTTTGGCTGAAATGTTCTGCTGAGGAGCATGTGTGCAAAAAACAGTTACTACGCATGCCTTTTGAGGTACATGGTATCTTTGGAGCTCTCATGTGCATTCTCATTAAGCATATAACTGGGGGTAAGAGTACTTGTCTGCCCCAACAGAAAAAGCCTAGACCTCAGGCAGGGAAGCTTCTAATTCACCTTACACCAAGGATCAGGTTGTCTCTGGTCTGGTGACTCTGGAGTCCAGTTCTGGAGTCAGGAAAATCTTTCCTTTTTATCTCTTGGAAGATTCTCACAAAGGATGCCAGCCTTGCAGGCTCTGTAGGTGTTCTGGACACCTTGTTGATGCAAGGGACTTGAATGCCAGAGCATTCATGGCTCCTGATCAATATTCTGGAGCTTCAAGTAATTAGGGTGCTCATGTCCCTACATTGCGAGACATCCATCTAGAGGGTCATCTGATCAGGATCCAGACAGATAACGCCACAGCGGAAGTGTACATCAACCATCAGGGAGGAAGCAGAAGTCTTGCCAAGGCAAGAGAAGTAGAAGTAATTCTGGCCTTGTCCAATGTTTACAGTTGGTAGACAGACTTCCTCAGGTAGCAAAGCCTGGATCCAGGGTCCACCACTTGTGTCAGAGGTGAAGGACACCGGATGTGGCCTTCTGGTAACTAGATTTAAGAACAAACTAAACAAGCTTTTCTTCAGCCACAGACATTCTTTGGTCGAAGCAGTGGATGCTCTTGTGGGCCCATTGGATCAGTATAGCCTGATCGACTCCTTCCCTGTCAAGGTGAAGGGCATACTGGTGATCCTTATAGCTGTGGCAGATGTGGCATTCAGAACCTAATCATACTCCTGGCGGATGTCTCATTGGCTCTTTCAGATTGTCAGGATTATCTGTCTCAAGGACTGGTTGAATATCCTGCTTCACGGTCGCTGGTTTTAACAGCATGGCTGTTGAAGCCCAAGTCATGAGGCACAGAGTATCTCTAAATCAGTGATTTCCATGATGTTAAAAGCAAGTAACTTTGTTTCCCGAGAGGCCTACTATTGCATTTGGAAGGCATAATTCACTTGGTGAAAGGAAAAAAGATTTAATCCCAGGAAATACTCTGTGGGATGTATCCTCACCTTTTTTCAGGCAGGCCTGGGTCAACAATTGGCCATTAGTACCATCAAAGTTCAAATATCAGTGGTTTTGATCTTGTTTCAGAGAATGCTAGCCTCAGATTTTTTGATTAAAACTTTTGTGCAGGATGTCTTTCATTTGTGTTTACCCATTACTCATTGAGATCTGAATTTGGTTCTCTGCATTTCAAAAATCCCAATTTGAACATATTAGGAATATTTCCCTTTCCACGCATACTCAGGAGGTGTGTGTCTGAGCTTGCAGGTTTGTCTTGTAAAAGATCATTTTGGTTCCCCCATTAGGACAAGGTAGTGTTGAGGACTAGAGCCTCCTTCCTTCGTAAGGTGCCTTCAGCCTTTACCTCAACCAGGACATTGTCCTCCCGTTTCCCTGTCTGGCTTTGGTGCTTTGTGTGTCTATCTTGCAGCCAGTGTTTCCACTGTTTTAAAAAAACAAATTTGTTGTCATTCCAGAGGGTCCCTGTAAAGGGGAACTAGCTTCTTGCTCCACCATTTCTAGATGGTTCAGACCTTTCATTATTCATGCTTGGTTGGGTTCCACCCTGTCCTGCTAAATCACATTTTACTAGGTCTTGGGCTTTTTGGTATTAGGCAACTGTTTCTTTCTGATTTGTAAGGCTGCTACTTGCTCTTCTGTTCACAATTTTATCTTTGCCGCTGTCCATATCTTCCAGTAGGTGGCAGTATAACTCAATTGTTTTTTAAACTTGTGTCCCTCAATGCACTCCAAGATATGGAATTTACTTTTAAGTACAAAAATCCAATTTAAATGACATAGTGCAAAAAGAATGACCATAACAATCAGTCATCCTCCACAATTTTACTAATATAACTACAGGAAAGTGAGGTTGCTGTGAATTACTGCGCTTTGTACACAGTCATTGCATTCTGCATAATGTGCAGACTTTTTATAGCATTTCTATAAAATCCAATTTTATTCAAGCCTTAGTGCAGTTTCACATGTACTTTAAGTTACCTATGGATGTTAGACATTTGTTACTTGATATCTGAAATGTATAAAAACTGTTGCCAAAAATATGTATGTTTCATGTATCTAATAATTGACACCAGGCCCCTGATGGTGTCTACAGATACCTTTATTTGACATCAAGAAAACATCCTAACACAACTATAATTTCCAACAAAGGGCATGCACCCTCTACCTTTGGTATAATGTTCTTCTTTGGGTTTTCATTACTTTATTGTGAAGTTTCATAAAGAAAATATAATACCTTTTCAAGACAAAGAGAAAGCCATGTTATTTAACAAAAAAATAATTTATTTTATATGCGTTACTTTGTTATCTTATGTAATGGCAAAGTTATGGCAGAAAAAATAGGCCCAAAGCTAAAATGTAAAAATTGCTCTGGTACGTAAGTGGTATACAGGTGCAAGAGTTCAGGTGGTTACATTGTAACAGGGTGTTCTTCTTAGCTCTAAATAGGGTTGACATGGGTGCCCTATCAACATGTAAATTACTTGTGAGACTTGCATATTACATAGTAACTGGATTTGGTACTTTAGACTTTCATACAGGAGCCTTTAGTTGTACTTTAAGTACTTTAAGTGTATTACATAGGAACATAAACTCTTGTTATAAAGCCCAACGTCAGAGCGAACTTTGTTTTCAGTAAAGTGGGGAAGGGATAGATCCTCTATCGGTTCTTACTTGTTGCAATCTGTGCCCCCACTGAGAAGCTTTCCCTTCACTTTTAGTCTAGGTAATTGGTGTCAGATAGAAGTAAAAGTGTAGGAGAATGTTTGCAAAGACACACACAGCATTTAAACCCCTTACCCTGGCTCTAACCCTTACCCTCTTTATCCAAAACCCAGAAAAAAAAGTTTTGACTGGGTTTAGACTTCAATGATTAACCTTTAAGTAGAACTAGAAACTGGAAAAAAACGTGTCACAAATACTTGTTGATTCTACCAGTAAAGTCCACCTTGTGCAGCTTCTTGTAATGGGGTGGGGATTGGAGGAGGGGCCCTGGGTGCTATGTGACGTCTCGGATTCTGAGCACCAAAAGAGTAAAGCAACCTCCTGCCATTTTGGTCCATGGAGTGCCCCCCTTAACAAGCATGTAGCTGTTTAGTCAGCTCCTGGATACATATAGTCCTACCCAGTGCTTTCTGGTTTGGTAGCAATTCATCAGCTGCTGAAATCCTCTTACTGTGACCTGCAGTGTCTGGAAGGAGGAATAGGGGCAAATAAAGGAAGATTTGGTTCAGTCAGAGGAGTCATTTATGAGAATTGTGCATCACATATTAACTGGATTTGGGACCTGTTTAGTCTGTCACACAGGAGCCATTAGATGTACTTTAGTATACTTTAGTTTATACAGTTCCTAAAAGTGTTTGATTTGCTCTCTGTTGCACTATGTAGTTTAATATAATAAGATCTGTAGCATACACCCCAAGCAGTGGGACTAGACACAACTTATAATTATGTCTTATTTTTGTGCAGGACTGTCACCAACATATTTGAATAAAAGGAAAATATGAGCTTTTGAAACACAAACTGGGCACTGGACATCATTCAAATCAGTAAACTTTCTGTAACGCATGGACAATTTAAGCCAGAGTTGGAACATAAACTTGGTTGATAGCAAACACTGACATTCAGCATTGTCCAAGCTGTAGAATATATCAACCGAATGATGGACTCTTCTGAATGCCAAGAAGCCCTTAGCCAAAAATCACCACCTTTTTTGCCCAAATTAGTAACTTGGTCCTCCCAGATCAACAGCTCAAAATCAGCTAGCCTTCCATCTGCAAATTCACAGAATTTACACTGGGATTCCCTTTAATGAGATTACCAAAACACCAATGAACCAGTGCAGGATTGTAATTTCCAATGTGGTTTTCTGGCAGACAATAAACCAAGAAGATGCTAAATTTCCAACTATCTTCTTGTCATGGATCAGTCATTGTTGTTAAACTTCATGGGCAATGGAGATGGACATTATTGATGCGGCCTACTTTAAATTCCCATATATAGTTGAACAAAAAACATCATCTGTCTTGAGGTCAAATACTTTCCCTGATTTTCTTCTTGGAAGAATGAAATATAAAGACTGTGTTTATTTATTTTATGTAAGGTATTAAAAATCTCAAGTAATCCAAAAATAAATATTGTTATTTACTCTCCATTGGCTTTTGTTTGTTTTATTAACCATTTGATTCATATCTCCTATGTTCTACTACTTTGCCCCTGCCTCCATTTCCCCATGGCAAATACTGGATATTCAAGGCTGCCAAAATGACAGATGGGACCTGCTATGTATCACATAGCAGGAGAAGCTGTCAAAATGCAGACATTTCTGTGTAAAATGACACTTGCAGATAGCCTGCAAGTGTCATTGAGTAAAATGTAATAATTGTTACAATGTATTTGCTACTTTATTCATATGTAGATCAAAGGGATGACTTTTGATCTGCATGTGGCATTATTTAAATCAACCTCAGCAGTAAAATATAGTTAAAACAATAAATTCCTATGTAACTTCTTATTAACCCTTAATTGTATAATTAGCCCTTTATTACCACCTTCCTCCCTTCCATTTCCATAGTATTTTTCTGCTGTTTTTATACCTATTTTGTAAAGCTGAACTCTAGAGAAATATAAAATACACAATTCACTGCAGTTCTGTAATCATTAATACTTAATTATGTATTTTTTAAATGCAAGCAGTGTAAGTACCTAAAAGTGACCTGGTATTGACCTGTTGCATTCCCTGGATTCCTCCATTCAATCAAGATTAAGCCAATGGCAATAATTTTCTGTTTCTACTTAACCTGCAGAGTGATTTCTTGATATCTCTCAAAAATGGATAAGACTTACCAGCTTAAAAATTTGGTATCTACTCTTATGTTTGCTTTCTACCAGTTTTACAATGTTATATGTTGTGTATGGTTATAATTATTGTTTTTGTCACAATTATTGTTTTTTTCCCTTTCGTGTTTGTTAATGACTCAACCAGAGCTTCCTGATTGGCCGTGAAGCCAGCTCCGTGCTCCCTTGTCACTTGGTGACGAGAAATTGTGGAGCCGGCATCCCGTCCAATCAGGATTACATGCCACCTGGCTTCCTGATTGGTCAAGAAGCTAGCCAATCAGGAAGCCAAGCTGTGAGTCATTGCCCGCCCCGCAGCTTCCTGTTTGGCCAGAAAGCTGGCTCCATGGCCAATCAGGAAGCGGGGGGCGAGTCATTATACGCTGCCCGGCTTCCTTAATGGGACTTCCGGTATCAGTATTTGGTATCGGCGAGTACCAAGAACAAAATATCGGTACTCAATACCGAAAAACCAGTATTGGTACATCCCTAGAGTTAATGTTATATTATGGAATGCAAAATATTCTTTAGTTCACCAATGCTTTTATAAATAACAACCGGCTATATGTTGCCTGTCACTTAACCCCACATAAGAAAAAAAAACCTTTTACCAGCCATGTATTCAACATGTCTTTCATTCAGTATATACTTAGTAATTGCTAGCAATGTTAGTGAGTGATTTTAAAACATGTCTGCACCCTGGTTTGGGCAAATTTCACTCTGCTCCCCCCCCCAGTGGCAGTAGCATGCAAACACACCTTGCATCTTTCAGTAATGTGGAATGATGTCCAGAGACATTTTCATCTCATAAATTTTCCTGTTTTTCAAAATCCTATATGTCCTTATCATAAATTGACCTGGCACTAACCAATCCCCAGATGTTAACTTCTTTAAAGTGGATTGCATATGCTGTGTGAACTGTTTAAGATAATACTTGCTTTGTGGATGAACCTGATAAAATCACATGATGCTCTTAAAATCACTATTGGCAAATGTTTTCCTCAATGAAGTACACAATGATGACCTACTGGTATGGGTTCCCTGTAAGAGGCATTCCAATCAAGTACATTATTGCCATTAAAACAAGTACTAAGCTCTGGGAGAAAACTTTAACTCAGACTGTGAACTCCAAAAAGTGTGACATACTGTGACTTTGTTGTCTTCTTTTTGTGAAGACCTATTTACATCTAGACTAGCACGCACACAAACACAATCCTAATGTTTTTCTAAAATATAGATTTAACAACTCTCTCAGATTCTCAGGCAGACGTTTTAGATGCCCCTCTTACCCAAACAGAAGTTGCAGAGGCTATTGGCTTTTTTGCCAAAACCATAACCCCAGCTACTAATGGCTTTCCAATTTAGTTTGTTGAAGAATATAGTGAGGTCTTTAGTTCCAAACTACTTAGGTTCTAAATTGCAGCATTTAATTGTAAAAAATGATCTTCCTCTATGACAGAAGCCAGCATTATTGTTATACCTCAACTGGTATAAGACAACCTGGAATCGGAATCACACAGGCTTATTATATAGCTTATAAGGTACACCAAATTCCTTGAAAATGCCCTCTATTGTACACTCAGATCAGATGGGCCTAAAGTAAAACTGAAGTAATTTTTTTTTTAGTTTTGGATAGAGTAAAGGAGGATTATAACCCCTGCCTGCCAGAGGGTGAATCTCCCTAATGGGGACACAGACAGCAATCAAAACCTGTGTTCTGATCTTACTTCACTCTATCCAAATCTAAATAAAAGGTTTACTTTCAGTTGGAACTTCAGCCCAAAAATCGGTCCAAACCCTGTATCACTTACCATTGGGGAAATTACTGCTCAAATTAATACAATTGCTCCTAACATAATTGCTCCTAACTGAAAAAAATATATATACTTGCATAGCTGTAATACAAAAACATTTAATAAGTTGTGGAATAACTGTCTAGTTACTCCAAGAATACCAACCATAGATCTGTGTCTATGATTGAGTTTCTTATTTCTATGCCTACCACATTATAACCAGCTCTTGGTTTCCCCAATATTGTAGTCTCACTACCCTTAAACTAACTTTATCCTTAAATGTTTAATCTTCTGGCTTCAATGTTGTATGTTTCAGCAGCAAATCTTTTTGGAAAGATGTTTTCCATGTATAATTAAAACTTTTGGAAATAAGCATACTACTAATGCACAATAGCTCTATTTTTTTCTTTCAACGTGTCATGTAAAGGCCATACAATTATTATTATACAGGATTTATATAGCGCCAACAGTTTGCGCATCGCTTTGCAACATATGGAGAGACAGTACAATTACAATACAATACCATACAAAAGGATTAGAAGGACCCTGCACATGAAAGCTTACAATCTACAAGGATCACTTGATCAAAATGTGGAACAGATTGAAATAGCCAGACATTGCTTTTGTAATGGAATGAGTGTCAGTTGACATTAATTAAGCACTATCTTCACCACACTATTATTCAAAAAGTAAACCTGCAACTGCAATTTTATTGCAGTTTTAGTTTTTCACACTGTATATGTTATACATATATGCTCTTGTAATTTTGCCATTTTAATATTTAGTACTCTACAAAGCTGCTACCATGGAGTTGAACTCCCACGTATAACAAACACCACTATAATAGAACATTGTATGTGTTTTCCTTTCCAGCAAAACAATAGAATATACTGTATGTGTTCGGTTTAGAAACAGATTGTGTAGGAGGAGAAAGTTTGGAAGTGAAAGACAGAAAGGGAGCAGGAGACAGAAGCCCTGGCATGATGTCCCCATCTTTGCATTGTCCCAGTAAATAGAAGGCAACCTGCTTGGCGATCAGCTTTGCCTCCCACTTCTCCCAGTCATTATTTCAGGCCATTGAACTTGGCATGCAGCCAAGTGTGGAACAGCAGACTGGGGAATAATGAGGCGGACGGGCTCATGTGGTACTTTGAACACACTTTTGTTCTCAATTGTTCCAGGTCCTGCCTGTGTGTAGATGAGTCTTTTAAGCATGCACCCGCCACAATTAGGCAGCGTGCAGCAAAACAGTTTGTGCAGCTGCTGGAGTGTGAAAACTACCTAAACTTGGAGGGTGTCAGCGTGTGTCTGGGGAGTAGGACATGCGACAGCACAGCCACCAAGTTCTACAAGTAGAAGTTTAGAGGACAAATCCAAACAAAGCTCATAAATACTGACCATTCACACTTTTGTGCTTAAAAAGCATATATTTTTAATATATATTTAACTGTTTTTTTCTAGGTCTCTATTTGTATCATTTTATATCATTTTTTGATCAATTTTTCATGCAATTTCTGTTTGCAACTTCCAGGTGTATGGTATTTCCTGTAGCAGCATTGCATTATTGTGAACCTGTACTTTGCCCATAAGCAAGGGAGATCGCTGGTTGTCACCAGGCTCGCCAGAACTAGTGTCCCCATTGGAAGGTTTCCGCTCCAATCCTGTTCTGGTGACAACTCAAAATGTGGGATTTTTTTTAACTTTGACTCTTCATGATACACCAGGACAAATAGAGAGGGTGGATCTCCCTAACGGGGACACAGGCAAAAAAATAAAAACATGACCGTTTTAATTCCTCTTAACTCTATTTTTGGTTACTGGGCTTTTATTTTATATATGCTTGTTCAGGTCTGTGAACAGGTAGTGAAGCCA